GGAGCGTTGCCTGCGCGCGGCCCCCGCCCCTGCCATTATATAGGGCTCAGGGGATGAGGTGGGGCCAGCTGGCCCAAACCATGGCACTCGCCCTCCAGTTGTCACCAGGGCTGGAAATTTATGGTTTGTTTTCCCTCCACCCATAAGCGCCTCCGCTCACACACCGGCTGTCACGCCTCTGTGATAAGGGGTCCCCTCAGCAAACAGCACCCAACGTCCATACAACATTCCACCAAACTGACAAGGAATTTTTTTTTTTTTTTGAGGTTGTTATTACTTACAGGATTTGACACCAAACCCTGTGGGGGGACATTCAGTGACCTGGGCTGTGCCGGAGATCTCTGTCAGACACCCTTTAGGGGCTGCCTGCCCTGCCCTGCCCTGGTGCATCACTGAGAGGGAGACGTGCTCTCTGGCGCTGTGTTCTGGCTCCATGCACACCTGGTCAGCAAAGGGCCTTGTCCCCAGCCCTGAGCCCACCTTGGCCATGCAGCTGCCCAGCTTGGTGCCAGCCCTCCAGCAGCGAGCCCATCTCATGGGGCAGCTACATAGGCTGAGGGGCTGCTGCCCCAGTGCCAGTGTGGGCCCCCCAAGGACCAAGAGGTCCTCAGGAAGCCACAGGGAGGAGGAGGCTTTAGCTCTGACTTCAGAGCTCTGGGGAGCAGACCTCACCACGGAGCTGGCTGCAGACTCAGTTAACGAGGTGGCTGTGGGTTCAGTGGAATAAATGCTTAATGGATACTGAGTGGTCCAGTCTGAAGCCAGCCCTGCAACTGGGAGTGCTAAGGAGGGCAGTGGCACAGCCTGGCGATGCTGGCTCACAGCTCAGTGACACTGATCTATTGCCATGGTGGGGAATTTACTGATGGTTTGATACCAGCAGCTGCTGAGCTGCTGGAGCATGTCCCTGCGCCGGCCCTGGGATGCTCTGTGGCTCTCCTGGGGACCCGCAGGGGCTCTGCTGCCACAGGGCTGGTGCTGGCTGCTCGGCCCCTTGCTGCCTTCATGCCCAGGTCCTTCATCCCCAGGTGGCATTGGCACCTCCGCTCTCCTCCAGGAGACCGGCAGGTGAAGGTCCCAGCGCCAGCAGCCCCTGCCACCATGCCAGCACCTGGCTGAGTGCTGCCTGGCCCCTGCCCTGGGTTACTCCAAGACTTCTTTCAGTACAGCCATGATGTTTTTCACCAAGGGACACACCTTCCCCTGCCCTACACCAGCCCCTCATAAAGTTGCCAGCTCCAAAATTACACCTGCATTCACAGAAACAAGGATTCCTGCCAACACCGCATCACAGTAGTTTGCCGAGTTTCTCAACAGCAATGAATGACTTAGACCTGATCCAAGACTGCCCTCAGCAGTTTCCTTTTTATGAAGTGCCTTTTCTTTTCTTTTCTTTTCTTTTCTTTTCTTTTCTTTTCTTTTCTTTTCTTTTCTTTTCTTTTCTTTTCTTTTCTTTTCTTTTCCTTTTCTTTTCTTTTCTTTTCTTTCCTTTCCTTTCCTTTCCTTTCCTTTCCTTTTCTTTTCTTTTCTTTTCTTTTCTTTTCTTTTCTTTTCTTTTCTTTTCTTTTCTTTTCTTTTCTTTCTCTTATTTCCTTTTATTTTATTTCCTTTTATTTTTTCTTTTCTCTTCTCTTTTCTTTTCTTTGCTTTGCTTTTCTTTGCTTTTCTCATAAAGAGCTTCCCAAAGTGCCTTGATAGATAACCTGGGGCTGTGGCATTCATCTTCTGTCAGCCAAATTTCAAAAAGGTGAAAGGGGCCTTCCCCGCCCTTTCAGCCAGCCCCCCTGTGCCAGGCGGGAGCGGGGCTGGCTCCCCACGCCACCAGGGCACTGAGGGTCAGCACCAACGCCGTGGTGCCAAGCCGTGGCCATGGCCAACATCCCAACCTGTCACTGTGTGTGGCCCTGGGGGGCACTGGGGTGGCTCTGCCCACTGCCACCTTCAGTGCCTCCTGCCACCCTTGCTTGGTAGCCGTAAAAGGTCCCTGAAACAAGGTCCCCATCGTGAGCTCTCCTTGTGCCACTGGCCCTTGGAGGAGCGGCGATGGGGCATGAGCAGCATCGGAGCAGCGAGCCCAGCCAAGGCATGCAGAGGTGGCAAGTGAAGCTGAATTGCAGAGTGAGGAAGATGAGGTGGAGGGGACAGAGCCTCCTGTGCAGTTGGGGACAGGCACCTGTGCCCTCGCTCCCCTGCCCTCCCTCCCCTGTGGGACCTGCTGCCGATGGAAGCATCACCTTCCAGCAGACAGAGTCCTACAGCTGGACCAAGACCCACAGGAGTGCAATGTGCTTGGCAGGACTGGCACAGCGTGGGTCCAGCAGAATCATAGAATCACAGAATCGTTTGGGTTGGAAAAGCCCTTTAAGCTCACCAAGCCCAACCGTTCCCCTAACCCTGCCATCTCACCACTAAACCCTGGCCCTCAGCACCGCATCTGCCCAGCTTTTAAACACACCCAGGGACTTGACCCCTTCCCTGGGCAGCCCCTTCCAGTGCCTGACAGTCTTTTCAGGGAAGGAATTTTTCCCAATGTCCAACCTAAACCTGCCCTGGCGCAACTTGAGGCCATTTCCCCACGGCAGGAGATGGTTGGGGACCTGCTGATGTCTCCCAAGGCACCGCAGGAAAAGAGGGATTGAAAAAAGATGGGAACAAGGTGGAGACTCCAACCCAGGCCTGAGGGTTTGCCAAAACACCCTCCAGGAGCACGTGGAGCTACACCTCCCCTGACAGATGTGCTCCCAACAGCTGGAGCCGCTGCTGGATGAGCTGCCCACGAGGGCATTTAAGGTGCTCGCTTGGACAGCACCGAGCCTGGACCAGGCTGCCAGGGCGATGCCCACCCCACACACAGCAGGGAAGAGCAGGAGGTCAGCAGAGCCTTCCTGCGCCTGCTTCTTACCACCAAGATGTATGGGCCGAGGAGGGGGGGTACCACATAGACACCCCCACAGGCTATGTTTGCTCAGGGCTACCCCAAGCATCCTGGGGCTGCTGCCTTCAGCCCTCGGCCTCCACTGATTGAAGGCAAAAAGGCACTGGTGTCTGCAGCCCAGCTCTGGGTCTGACTTCTTGGCAGCTCCCTGCAGGGAAGGAGCCCAAGCCAGACCGCTGGCCGTCACAGAAGTGTCATGACATGCTGGGCGCTGGCAACTGTTGACAAACCCATAGGTTTGTCCCTCTTTGATCTCCAGATGATACAAATCTCCCCCATGCCCTTGGTGTTCACAACTCCTTCCCTTCCATTTGCCGTTCCCTTCCCCTTTAGCTCCTCTGCTGCCCTGCAGCAGCTGACAGATCCCCTGGGAGATTTAACTCCTGGGTAGATCCCATCCATCGAAGCTGATAAGCACCCCACAGCTGGGAGGTTTGGAGCCCTGTTTGCTTTTCTCAGAAAAAACCCCAACAACTTTAGGGCATCTTTGTTTAATCTCAAGCAAAGAGAAACCGCCAGATGGGCATGCGATGATTGACCTTGTTCGTGCAAACAGGGGAGCTGAAGTCCTTGCGCAGAGCAGGTGCGTATGGGGAGGGGCCCAGGTATAAAGGGACAGAGGCCAGCATGGAGCTGAGAGCAGCCTGACCCACGGCTCAGGAGCACCGCGGTGATGGGTGAGTTCTCCTCTTCCTCATGGCTCTTTTTCTGCAGTGCTCGTAGCTCTGGGGGATGCAAGTTGAAAGCTGAGCTAAGTGACAGCAGTGGGGGACAATGGGAGCGGGAGCAATGGGAGACAATGGGATGAGAGCGCCCAGTGTCTGTCCCACTCCTCCCCTTTCCACCCAGCCATTTCTTCCAGTTCTCTGCTGCTGCTGCTGGGTCGTTTGCTGCCTCCCTGCGAATGCAGGCGCTGCACCCAGAGCACCAGGTTTATCCACCAAAGTCAGCTGCAGCGCTTTGAACTATTTGATCTGAACACCCTTAACACAGATTTGCTTCTTTCCCGTAAAAATATCCTTTTGCACCTAGACCTGTGGAACAACAAACCAACACATTTAGGAGAAACATGAAAAACCGTGGCTGAAGGCTGCTGCCTGGTGCGGGGAAGGGGCTGGCCAGAGGGTGACAAAGCTATTTCTCACTTTGCTTTGGCCCTGCAGGGGCAGAGCCTGCACAAAGCTGCAGCTCTCACCCCCCACCCCCCCCCCCCCCGGGAGTCCCCTGCTCCTGCCTGTGCCCCATGTCTCTGCCTTTCCTGGTCTGAGCACCCCAGGGGTGCTGGCAGGGGCAGAGGGGGCTGCCCAGGGATCCTGATGATGCTGGACCCTTTCCTCCCCAGGGCTCCAGGCTGGGACATGTCGGCTCCGCTGGGACCTTGTCCTCCTGCCCATGGTGATGCTTCTCTTCTGCGTGAGCCCAGCACGTGCTGCCAGCTTCCAGGATGGTGAGTGCCAGTGCCGGGGGCACAGCCAACGAGCTGCCAGGTTTGGGTGCAGCTGTGCTACCCTTGGTCCCTCCCACCGGATCCACACTGAGGTGGAGAGGAGCTGGATACAGCAAACCAGCGCGTCGGAAAGACCCCAAGGATGTCCTTGCTTTCTTCTGGAGCAAACACACCGCATGGCTCAGCAGAGGTTGTGGGCACAAAGCAGAACCAAGCAATGGTGGTGACCATCCAGCTTGTCACACCTGGGGCTCATG